CTAGTTTTTTCTATTTTAAATCAATTGAAAATACAATGTGGTACAGCATAAAAAAGATCATCATTCAATTTTATCACTATGTGATAAACGAATGTCCATTATGCTATGGTGACAGGGAAATGTCTGTCAGGGAAATGGGCACTAAAGCTCCAAATGAATCAATGAAATTCGAATCAAATTGAATACCTAATTTTTGATTCAAATCAAATCAAATCAAATTGAATCAAATTCAAATTGTACCCTGATTCGAATGTTAAATATATAATTTAATTTGAACTAATTCAACCCAACTCGATTTGAACTAGTAATGGTAGCCGAAACTATGCTTAGTGGGCCAAAATTGCCAGCCTAAAACTTTGATGTTGAAATTGTGAGCTTTTAAAATAAAGTAGATTGATTTAGATACTTATTATATGTGTTGGATGAACCTACCTTTTTTCAAAAACAGTTTTGGCTACCATCACTAAATAATATCCTTTATCAATTAAAAAATTTAAAATATACACAATCTTGGTTTAAGCAGATACTATAGTTTGGGTAATTAGAAAAATTTTTCTAAAAATCCATTATTATTCAAACCTTGTCACGGCGGACTATAATAATTAAATTCTTGTCGTAACTGATTTTTAAAATTTTTGCTTCACATATAAAAACATATAAAACTTTTCTTATTATTATTATGTGTCACATCCATCTATTGCGACTATATGAAGAAATCCATTATATTTATTATTATTATTAAATCTTAATCTGTTGTCATCCATTAAATTGAGGTACACTACATTAGATTCACTGTATTTAATATGACATTAAGAAAAATTTAGGAATCTAGTTTGATTTGAATTGATTCGAATTGAGTCATAAATCAAATCAAATTCAGTTTTTTTGAATTTGGTTCAAATCAAGTTGACTACAAATCAAATCAAATCACTCTAAAATTCAATTCAATTCAATTCATTCAGAGCCTTACATAAGTCCTATGAATGTCACATATTGAAAATTTTATGTGGCCATTCCATATCAGCAGCATCTTGGGATGGTATGAGATGACATTCTGTCTTCTTTACATGATGATAGATGAATCTTAACAGGGTTGGTTTTGTCAGATAGTGACTGAGGGGACCCTTTAGGGCACAGTTCTCCATTTGATGGTTACAATGGTGTAATCTGATACTTCATGACCAAATTATACAATGCTTTTCCATGATGGGAGTCAGGAATGTTTGCACAGTAAAGCCATGCATGTGGATCATTCCAAGTTTTGAAATTCATCATGTTTGAAGAAATACTCCCACCATCCCATATTAAGGATACTGGCTGCAACTTTTGATAATGGTTGCTACCATCTTTGCGTCATATAAAAATGATTGCAACCACTGGTTGCAACCACCTTTACAACCATTTTGTTTCCTTTTTTGGATTGCGACATGAAACACTATTGTGAACAGCAATGGATTGCAATTGTTATAAATGATATTACAAACCACAATAATAACAATCATTATAATAATAAATACCAACAATAACAACAAAGACAACAATAATAGCCACTTGTCTCTTGAATGATGGTATAAAAAAGAACATGTGTTTTAATATTTTAAATAATATGATGCAAAGGATCACAAACATTATTTTGATATATTTTTATTGTTGTTTTCTTGGCAAGTTTTTAGTTTGCTACTTAACAACTCTGGATTTCAGAAAATATGCACTTCTATCACAGATCATGAATTAAATTTTTAAATAAATTAGTAAAAAGATTTATAAAAAAGTTGAGTTCACTTGATAAAATTTAAGATGAACATGGGACAAAAAAATGGTATGAAACGTAAACTCAACACACAACACCCTTGATCTTTTTCTTTTTGGCATTGGGTATGTTATTATGGCTGTTATTTCTTTTACTGTGTTTTAAAGTAAAACCTTTTATGAGCTTTTCTTGACTATTTTACATATTTGGTTTATTTTTGTTATTTAATGAACAATTAGAATAAACCTTATTTGAATAGAAACCCTATTCTTTAAATTTAACAAAAAAAAGTTATATGGTGCACCATCTAAAGATATCACGTGCTGCGCCACTTGCTGAAAATTTTTATGCTGATCTTGCTTTATAAAGAGCTCAATATATATAAAATAAATCCAAATTTGTAAGATCTACGACTTTATCACGTGAATATATATTAGATATATAGTCGCCAAAATTTCAAATAACATAGTAAAGTACTCAACTTTAAACCATTATAACTTTTTTTTTACTAAATAATTCAAAAAAAACTTTCTATTACATTATTTTTCATGGCTAGAAGATTGCAAAATAGAGGGTTTTGATAAAATAGCCTGTATTTAATAAAGTATCAGCATTTAAAGATTAGCAACATTTTGTGATGTCTTCAGATGGTTGGCACTATAGGAGAGCTCCTGAATCTGTATTAATAGATATGGAAGCAATGACTTTATAAATAAAATTTTAAATCCGAATTTGTAAATGATCTGTGAATTTGTCACGTGAATAATCGGTAAATCACGGTTTAGATGGTTGCCGAAATTATAGTAAAGTTACATAACTTTAAGCCATTATAAGTTTTTTTTTACTAAATGACTCAAAAAAAACTCTCTATTACATTATTTTTCATGACTAAAAGATTTCAAAAATAGAGATTTTTGGTGAAATAACACATATTTAGTAAAGTATCAGCATTTAAAGATTGGCAACATTTTGTGATGTCTTTAGATGATCGGCACTATATACACGAATTAATTTTCTGTACATATGTAAACTCGATAAGTCAGTCACTCGATAAGTTGGTTTACTCGATAAGTCGGTCATATGAGCTCACCCCCACATGACCGACTTATTGAGTTTACATATGTACAAAGCTTCGATAAGTTTTATTGGTCGATTTTGAGTAACGTGATACACCGTGCTGAATTGAATTGTCATTTTAAATAATGGTTTGTTAGATACAATTAATCTTTGCACGGAATAAAGGATTTAATATTAATATTAATCAAATCCGCCCACAAATTTAAATTATTTTGAAATGACTTTCAAATTTGGTTAGCGCGTGCTCTGTGGCAGAAAATACTTGTGTAGTGTGTATATGCTAAAATTTTTTACTTATAATTGAAAGCTAGTTTCGACCTACGATGAAATCTTTTGACTTTCGCACAATTACGAAACTCTATAGTTTAGAAACCAACATTACTTGAGATGCAAAATTTTGATTGGCTAATTTGAATTTTTCGTGCGTTTTTTATGTGACTTGCATGGGAGGAAATACTCGAACACAAAGCCATTATCTCTTTCTTCTTTTCTTTGTTGGCCCATCCCTGAATCTCTTCTATCATTTTTCTTCTAGAATTTGTTTTTCGTTGATAGAAGTTTTTAATAGTAGAAACTCCTTTCCCCAGGCTTTATTTCGTTAATTATTTTGATTTATATTACAGGGCTGGTTGTGATTTTATAATGAGGAAAAATACAAGGAAAAATCAGATTAATAAGCCACAAATAAATTCAGTGATAAAGTAAGCATTTTTGTTAAATATTTTTTGAGAGAATAACTATGTTTATATAATGATAAGTGGAATTATTTGGTGAAATTATTGAAAAAGATTTTATTTTGATTTCAAGTTTTGTATTTTAAAGTTGTATATCAACAAGGTTTATGGTGATGATTTTAAATATTGTTTATTAAAGAATTTTATTTGAATTTTACAAAAATTTGACATGCTTATTTATAATTTTTTTCCCTTATTCTTGAAGCTGGACGTTAAAAGCAAAAGAATTTTCTTAAAATGTAACGTGATCCGCATTATTTTAAAAATACAACTCTATTTTTAACGATCAATTTTTGATATTTGAAAACTCAATTTATTAAAACTTATCATATGTAACAAACACAATTTAGGTTATAAATTTTCAATTTGTTTTTGTAATGCATAATTTTTTTTAGTGTTAATTTTTGATTTCATAGTAAGTTGCTATATTTGTAATAATCTGTGATCAAATGTTTGTTTATTTTATAATCATTCAAATCATTCAAATTATACAAAATCATACTGTATGTCGTTACCAAAGAATTACTTCTAGAGTTATTGTTATGAAGAATTCTAAATAGAAGTGTCTAAACAATAAAATCAATAAAATCTTTTTTAAAATAATCAGTAATACTTTTATTAACTTCTAAAGAAATAAGTTCTTTCAGTAATAGTAAGATAAATTTTACATTTGTCCAATGTGATCGGTTAACATTTGAGGTTGAGATGTATCTTTACAAACAATTAATATCAAAATCAAGCTTACACTAAAATCGTCATTTGATGATATAGATATTTCATCGCCATATTTTTTCTTTGACGATGGCAATAATACCATCTATGTATATCACATCATTATATGAAAGTCGTTTCCAGTAAAGGATAATTGATACATGTCAATATTTAAAATAGTAATCACTATTAATAATAAATTCCAAACTTCCTAATTAGTAATTCATAAAAGTTAAAATTACCTGTTTGATATATAATTTTATACTTACAAGTTTCTTCCTGATTTTTTAAATTTCCCAGGCATTCACACAAAAACATTACATTTTAACTAGTTAGATTAGATTTGTATATAAATACATGCATGTGATGTCACTATATACAATGTGTAACAGTAACAAAAAAAGTTGGATTCGCAAAAACCTTTATCACCACTACTACTACCTGTCTAATCAAATCCGATAATTAATTTTGGGTAATTTGCTTTTAAAATGTATAATAGAGTTGAATATTGTTGGTTTTTTGTAATTACATTAAAAGAGAATACATTCACCCCACAAATTACACAAATTACAAGATCTCATTCTCAAATTTTATTTTCATACTAATAAGTTAAAAGGAACAGATGATGATATGGCTTATAGAGCGAGTTAATGATTTGAAGAAATGGGAACACTGCTGAAATCACATGATATTCAACAAGTTTTTAAAAACTTTGGCAACCAAATTATCATAGAGGTTAAAAGCTTCAAGACTTGGGACAATTTATCATTGAAAAGTGGGACCTAATTCCTGATTTATTTTAATTTGACCAAAAAATCAAAATGTCAGCACGTAATTAAAAGCAATGGTGAATGTGTTATATTAAAGCATATTCAATAAAAAATTCTGCTTTTTTAATCAATCAAATGAGCTATTTTTACTACTGTATATACATGCATTTATTAGAATAATACTTGAATATCAAAATAATTGAGGCTCGTTCATCTGAATATGGTGCATTGATTCTTTCACCTTCCAAATTCTTTACACGAGAAGAATCACAATCGTAGATGATTCGAATGCTTAAATATATTCTATTTGTCCATTAAATTAAATAATAATAATAAAATTTCACAAATTTATTTTTTATTTAGAGAAAAGATTTACATCAACAAAAGAAAGTTTCACAGGAATTATCACCAAAAGCTATGGCTATTTAATAGGCCGAATTAGGCATTTGTCTGCAAATGTAAATAATAACAACTTGCTCTGTACGGATAAACTAAACTTCCGTTTAATTGAGTGTGAGAGGCTCACAAATATCTAATTACTATTCTAACATTGGCTGCATTTTATTTTCTTGTAAAAGATTTTCATCATTTAATAATGGTTATTATTATCTAAATAAATTTTTTTTTTTGAACTTTATTATTATATTAATCATCCGTGTTAACAATTATAACAATGTTAATAAATAGTAATTTGTTTTTTAAAATAACAATCAATCAGTCAATAAAACTGATGATTTATTGCACACAACATATCTATTTCTTTGATTTCTTGTGAATTTTAAAACATGACAATTGGAATATGTTTGTTCACGTGATAGAAGGGGCGTCTTTGCAACTTCATGCGCTTGATTTGAGTTGATTTGGTGGAATGGGTGCTTTGGTTGAACTTTGTAAGTTTTCCTTTATCTAGTTATTATAATCATTATTATCACCATCTCTTAATATCTTTAACATTACTAATCATTTATTTGTTTGAGCGATCTTTTTGTTTAATTAGTTCTCGGCAAAAAAAGTCTAACATATTTGGTAAATCAAATGGGTTTTTTTTTTCAAATAATAAATTCATTTCTATTTAAACTAAATTCTCAATGAATGAATATTAATTAATACAAAAAAAAAAGGATAATGACAATGATTTTCAAGTGCTGCTTCTTATCTTTCAAAACTGATTTTCTATCTAGCTTCCGTATTTAGCAAAAATATTCTTTTTAATACTATATTACAGATTACATGTTATACATAACTCAAGCTTAAATAAAATCCAAAATAATTGTGGATCAAATTTTTAACTTTTGATCTGCACTTGTGTTTTTATTTTTAAAATAAAAATAGATTATTAATCAATCTTATTTTCGTGTTTAATATATAGAATAAATAAAATAGTAAAAGCCCGATTTTACGATTATTATAAAAATATTGCAAATTTGGCTGGATTTGTAAGTGCGAGCAATAAATCTAAATTAACACAATCGTTTGTATATAAATATTTTCGATTATTGTGTCTCATAAAAATCAAAGACGACAACAAAATATCCGCTATCATATAGAAATCGCACAGTTGATTACCAGATCGACTATACTTTTTTTTATTCAATCAGATAATAAATATTGCTATGTAAAGTTGATGACGGAACGGTTTGATATGAATTTTAATATTATTAATCTATTTGCGTACAGTTTAAAAATTTTAAACCGAACGAAGGAGGTTTAATTTTCTTTTGCTATTCATTAACTTAAAAAAAAATGATTTCAAAGATGAATTGATAAAGCAATCTTGTACGCATAGATATGTGCTATTTACATCATTCCTGATTTTTCTCGCATGGACACATGATGCCTTTTGAATACTAATAAAAGTATTATTAATCAAATAACTATAATAACGATAGAGTGGATGACGATAAAAAATTTATTTGTAAACTAGAAAATAATTAAAGACAAACAAACATACACTCAGATCTCATCATATTGGTGGTTACACAATACTTATGGATGAGGATTTGGGAGTTGCTTTCAACATAAAGATTTTGAAGCGGTGGCAACTTTTCATTGAGATAGACAACTAATTTTAGATCCAAAATTTTCATGTAGTGAAAGTAAATACTATCATTCAACGATAAAGTTGTATTCAAAAGATAGATTTGTGATAATAAAAGCATGTTATTAATAATATTATCAAGAACAATAAAAATATTTTAGGAAAGGGTTCCCTGAACACTTTAATCATCTTGTATGTAATATCCAAAGATTAAATCAAAAAATGTAATTGGCTTAAATATCTATTTAAATTCAAACCAAGAAAGAAAGGCAAGCACAAAAACACTTTCAAGAAGAAGAAAAGTCAACGACAATGTCAATAATATCACTTCCACCGCTGATACAGCGATGGATACATATCAGCCGATTTGGTTTTTTGGGCCTTTTTTCAAACCTTATTGTGTCTCGATGTTAAACACGAGTGTTTTTAATGTATAAACTGGTCGGTAGAATGATAATTACCCCAAAAAAAATTATTTGCTCCGCTAAAAAACTAATTTACTATTCATCAACCCGTCAAACCAATGGCCCCACCTCAAAACCAATGGGTTTTTGCTAGTATAAAGTATTCATAAC